CACACACACACACACACACACACACACACACACACACACACACACACGGACAGCACAAGGTACAGTAGCTCTATATTCACTATTGTCCTTGAACCTTGGGACAATTCTGTGAAATAGTACTATTTATTACTCTTCCCATATTACGAGTAAGGAAACAAGGTCCATGGTCCCAAAACAAATGTCAAGAGATGGGATTGGAAGCAAGGCCTTGCCATTTTAAAGGCCAGTACTCTATCCACTATGCCACAATACCCAGATTTTATAGCTAGATATCCCAAAGAGTGAAATGAAAAGTAGAGCCTTACCTGCCTGTGCAGCTGTAATTAGTGCTGTATTCCCCTCGTTGTCCTGCCAGTTTACATCAATATGAGGGCACTCTGCTAAGGCTACTACAATATCCACAAAACCTTGGTAGCAGGCAACAATAAGGCCAGTCTATAAATAAAAAGACAGAATTGGGTCAGAGGTGGCAGATTCTTGATAATTGTTTTTCATTAACATTTGTTGTCTCTCCATTAACTGTATTCTCCAAATGCTATAAAAGTCATAGTGATACAGAAATCAGTAACAAACATGCCAAAGACTTAGGCTCAGTACATATAAAACTTGGATATTAGGTAAGATCACTACAGACACAGAAAATGAAATATGTGTAAAAGTTATCTAGAAAATACAGTAACTACAGCATGGTTCCCAACAACTCTTATTCATCTGGATAATTAAGTCTCTGGACAATGACCCCCCCAAAAAAAAGAGGAAAAGGCTATCATAGGCAGCCTCAGGACTCTTGAAAAGATGAGGTAAGGAGATTTTTCTGTAACATTAAATATGTAAAATGCCAGAGAAGCTTGCTTGCAGAACTTTCAAACTTCTGAGTGCTAGAAGGAGCCAGCATATGTCAGCAATCATTTCCCACTAATATTTTCAGCAAAAAAAGAGGTGTGATCAGAAGCTACTATGCTTGAAATACTGACAGGTAGCAAGCAATATGCCCATGTCTTTATGGAAAAATTTCCCAGCCACCACAATCTCCCAACCTCCCACTCTAACAATTATCTATCTCTGTCAGTAATTCTCCTTTGCCCCTCTGCCCAACAGAGCAAGCATTTGGTTAAGCTATAAGTAATTTAAGTAAGTTAAGTAGAATAACTTTAAATAAATTAAGTAGAATAACTCCTTACCACAAAAATGCTGGGGACATGCAATATATAGATAAAGCATATTCTTTCAGGGAAAAGTGTTTTAGTCAAAATAAATTTGGTTTGGAGCTAATAGTTGCTTAGGCCTATTCAGTTCGGTTCTAGGGGAAAGTAAATCCTAAACAGCAATTTAAAAAAAAAAATTGTTTGCTCAAGTCTGTTCAAGAATCTCTAATAGCTCCCAAACACCTCTAGGATAAAATAAAAATACCCATTTGGCATTTATAGCCCTTCACAATCTGTCTCCAGTCTACCTTCCCAGGCTTATTAACTTTTACCCTGTCTCCCTTTACATACTTTACATTCCAACCAAACCTATTCTTTCTTGTATGTAACATTCCATTTTACTCCTTTTCCATGTCTATGCATGCACTCCCACCCTCCTTACCTTTGACCACTCAGAATCTCTAGATTCTTTCTAAGCTCAGCCCGAATCTTACCACCTCAGGTAAAGGCTTTTTTTAAAAATTTCTCCAACTACCAGTGCTCTCCCAAAGTCTATATTTACATATGTATATAAAATAGAATATAAGCTTCTTGAGATGGGGATGAAAGGATGGCTCCTTCTCTGTCTCCTTTGCTAGCACTCCCTGTAACTATGGGTGTCCCTCGGCTTTCTGTCCCTGGGACCTCTTCTCCTCTCCCTCTATACTATTTCCCTTGGCAATTTAGATTTAATTACCATCTCCATGCTGATGATTCTCAAATCTACCTATACTGCCCCAAAATCTCTGCTGATCTCCAATCTTGCATCTCCAACTGCCTTTTAGACATCTCAGACTGGATGTCCAGCAGAGATCTTAAATTCCATATATCCAAAATGGAATGCCTGTCAATTTCTCAAATGTGCCCCCTTGTCTCCTCAGCCACTTCACTACTTCAGCAAGCCCTTACCACCTCACACTTAGACTACTGCAGTAGCTTGCTGGTGAGTCTCTCTGCCTTAAGCCTCTCTTCACTTCCTCCATTCATCCTCTAAACTGATTTTCCTAAAGTGCAGGTTCAGTCATGTTATTCCCCCTACTCAATCAAGTCCAGTGGCTCCTTATGGCCTCCAGTATCAAATACAAAATGTTCTATTTAGCATTTAAAGCTCTTCATAACCTAGGCTGTTCCAACCTATGCAATTTTCTTACACCTCACTCCCCACCATATACTCTCTGATCCAGTGACACTGGCCTCATGGCTGTTCCACTCCATCTCTCAGTGCTCGACATTTTTGCTGACTGTTTCCTATGCCTAGAATACCCTCCTCTCATCTGCTCTGCCTACTGACCTCCCTGGCTTTCTTTAAGTCCCACCTAAAATCCCATCTTTTAATAGAAGTCTTCCCCAAGTCTTAATTCCAGTACCTTCTCTCAGTTAAATATTTCCTATTTATGTTGCATATAGCTTGCTTTGTATATACTTGTTTGCAAGCAATCTCCCCCATTTGATTGTAAACTCTGTGAGGAAGGGGACTTTCTTTTGCCTTTTTTTTTTTTTAGGATACCCAGCACTTAGCACAGTGCCTGGCACATAGTAGGCACTTAATAAATGTTTAATAATTGGTTTCTTAAGGGTATTTTTGCTCATCTAGCACAGCACTTGACAAAATAAGCATTTAACAAATCAATCAATAATTAATCAAAAAGGATTTATCAAATATCCACTATGTGCCAGGCACTGTTGCTCTGTACTGAAGATGAAACAATTGTTACCTGTTAGGAGCTTATAGTCTAATGAGGAAGGCAAAAAGGGTATATAATACAGAACAAAGACAACCAGTTACTGAAAAAGACAGGAAGGTTGCTGGATAAATGCAAAGACTCTGGAACACTCCTTAGCCCAATTGATAAAGTGAAACCAACTCTACACCTGCTTAAGTGATGAATCCCACGAAGTGTACCAAAACCAAAAGGAACATCACTATTTTTGGGCAGCTAGTTGTTATGATCATTCTTCCACAGGAAATTTGTGGAAAGTTGAGGCTGCATGTGCTTCCTTGACTCAATAGAATAAATATAGCCATTTCCATAAATTATTAATCACAAGCCAGAGCCATAAATGAAAACTTAAATTAAGGTTTTATGAGACCAGCTATGTCTTTTATTTATTAAACCACATTCAAGCCCAATAGTATCAAACCCAGGAAAAAACATTAGAGATAAAGAGGAATGAATAGTGAGCCTTCCTTGCCAAAGGAGTAGAAAATAAGTAGAGTCTAAGCAAGGGATGGCTGCCACTGGTCTAAGAGAGACCATTCATTCATAAAACACACCATGTAGGAGGTCAAATGGGCCAGGTGACCTACAGCCCTTACTTACTTTGCTCTAAGTACCTTATGTGACAAGCATGAGGATATTCTACACAGGCAGGCCAGGGCAGAAACTCTGATCATGTCCCACCTTGCTTAATAGTTTTCTTTGTTGTCAAGTAAGCATGTATTAAGTGCCTACTAATTGTCAGGCACTGTTTTGGCTCTGGAGAAATATAGAAGAAAAAAAAGGGGAAAAAAAAAAAGGAAGACCATCCCTGCTCCTCTCAAGTAGCTTACATTCACATTCCATCAGGGGAAACAACACATTCCTGTGAGTAAATCCAAAGTAATTTCAGGGAGGCACTAATAATGGGAAGAATGTGGAAAGGCCAATAAATCATGTGATCTAAAGTTAGAAGGGTCCTCAGAGGACATCTACGTCAACTCCTTCATTTGACAAATGAAGAAACTAAGGACTTGGGAAGTTAACTGAGCCAAGCTATAAATCCAGGTCCTCTGGCTCCAGAGTCAATTATCTTTCCCCTATACCACCATACTGCCTCCCAAATAATACCTTTGTTAAGCAACAATATAGGACTGATCAGAACATAGATGCTCTACAGCTGCTGCTTCAGGTAGGCATATGAAGTCACAGATACCTTTCATGCATATATACATATATAGTTATGTAACATAAAAGTAATACATAGTTGTTGTTGTTCAGTTGTTTCAATCATGTCCTAACTCTTCATGATCCCATTTGGGATTTTCTTGGCACAGATACTGAAGTGGTTTGCCATTTCCTTCTCCCGCTCATTTTACAGATGAGGAAACTGAGGCAAACTGGGTTAAACGATTTGCCCAGAGTCCCACACTTTGTGTCTGTGTCTAGATTTGAACTCAGGAAGATTAGCTTTCCTTACTTCAGGCCTGGCACTCTATCCACTACGCTACCTCTATAACAGGTGTCCTACACACACACACGCACACACATATTAATAATAGAAGAATCAGTAGTGACTGTGAGTTGGAAGTGTAAGGATTCTCTATAGTTATATCTGCAGATATGCCTTAAGGACAAATTAACAATCTGAACTCTCTGGAACACAGCCCTGAACTTAGAAAAACCAGAAAAAGACCTCTAACCACTAACACAGTGCCACAAATCTAACACTTTTAAAATGTGGTCATCTGGTTTCTCAGATCACAATGGAATAGAAGCAGCAACCTGGTACCTGCCAGAAGTGGGCATTCTGACAGAAGTAGAAACTTCATGGCAAGAAAAAAAAATTAAACCTAAAAAGGCAGATCTAAATCTTGATAATGACACCGAATCATGAAAATAAAAAAGAATCATATTTCTCATACTCTATTTAAGAAGGCAAGAACACATATAATAATACATGTTAGAATTTCTGGGACAAATGATTAAACTAGAGGAAAAATGTGTGCTGATCACCTGAGATCTATAATCATGTTGACTGACTCAGTTTTTGATACTTAATTTCCTCAGCTGCCTCTCCTCCGTGACTGGAAGGCTAGAGGGTAGAGCAGTCAACTCCTCCCAAAGTCTTCCTTTATACAGGCGTCTGAACTTCCAGAACTTTCCAAGTACCTCTCCCTTCTCCATCAGCAGCTCTGTTTGGTTTTGACTGCTGGGAATATCATGCTCCTGTTCCAGGTACCCCCTGGTAGCCTGCCCTCCTCCTTCCCCACTTTCAGCTTCTTGTGTGTTGTCTTCCCTCATTAGATTGTAAGCTCCTCGAAAGCATGGACTATCTTTTTTATCACTTGAATGTCCATCACAGCGCCTGACACACAGTATGGGTTTTTAAATAAATGTTTGCTGAACTGAATTGAAAATGAAAGGGTCAACTTTATTGATCTGAAAAATCTACTGTTACAGAACATTTCAATCCCTGTAACACCTAAGGAAATAGCATGGAAGGCTTTTCACACGCAAAAAAGAAATGTTAATGCTACCACAGTGGCATTTT